TAACTTTAATTTATTTGATGTTTAAGTTCTTTTAGTTACTGTTTATTTGAAATAATGTTGTATACTGTTTTTGTACTGTATCATGCCAACCCAGACAATGTATTGTTTTGAACTCTTAAAGTTAAATGCTATTTGGGTGTTTCTGCCTGGATTTTGCCTACCCAAGTTTACAAGCTTCCCAAATCCACATGCAGAGATGTAAATGCAAAAATGTTGTATCATTTTAAAGAAAACCCTTTGAATTTTAATAAAACACTGTTGAAAGTGATTCATTCATTCATTTTCTTTTCGGCTTAGTCCCTTTATTAATCTATACGCTTATTAAATACGCTCTCGTTCACACACATAGGCTACGGACAACTTAGCACACCCAATTCACCTATACCACATGTTTTTGGACTTATAGGGGAAACCAGAGCATTCGAAGGAAACCCATGCAAGCATGGGGAGAACATGCAAACTCCACACAGAAATGTCAACTGACTCAGTCAGGACTTAAACCAGCAACCTTCTTTCTGTGAGGTGACAGTATTAACAACTAAGCCACGATGTCGCCATGAAAAAAAAAATTATATATACATGCAGAAACGAGCAGGTATTTTATTCACTCATTCATTAATTTTTTTTTCAGCTTAGTCACTTTATTATTCTGTAATCGCCACAGCGGAATGAACTACCAACATATGCTTTGAGCAGCGGATGCCCTTCCAGCTGCAACCCATTGCTGGGAAACATCCACACACTCTCATTCACACACATGCACTATGGACAATTTTAGCTTACCCAATTCACCTGTAGCACATTTTTTTGGACTTGTGGGGGAAACCGAAGCACTCGGAGGAAACCCATTCGAATGCTGGGAGAACAATGCAAACTCCACACAGAAATGCCAACTGACCCAGCCAAGGCTCGAACCAGCGACCTTCTTGCTGTGAGGCGACACTACCTTCTGCGCCACTGCGTCACCCATATATAATTAATAATTAATTAAATTATATTGCTATTAAAGTAAATTCGACAAAAATACTATATAAAATACTTTATGAAATACTTTTTATAAAAAAAAATGAAATTTATTTGCAGTTTCTTAGTCAAAATCATTCCACATCAGTATAGAAGTTTGAGACATTTGTAATTGATTTTGGTGTCATAAGAATGAGACGTATCACTTTTCGGTCCAGATCCTAGTGCACAAATAACAATTGTGCTATTTCAGCATAACTTAAAATGCTGTGGAAATGGAGTCATCCAGTGAAAAGCACACAGTCTTTAAGAGCATGCGTTATCAGTCTCATAGGATAGAGTTTCCTTCAGTGAAGGCTCCAGTAGGCCTCTGTCTCCGTCCCTGTCTTTGTCACTGCAGTGCGGCCCCTGGCCCCTAATGAGGAAACCTGCTACTCGGGGATAGAGATCACATTCACAGACCCAAACACACATACTCTTCTTTCTCTCTCTCTCTTTCTCTCTCATCCTGCTCCCAGGCACCCCAGCCAAAAGACTGAGAGAGTCTGCAGTGGGGCGAAAGGCTGCGGGTGTGGAGGAGTGTGTGTGTGTGAGTGTGTGTGTGTGTGTGTGAGTAAAGGAGGAACAGGACTGTCAGTAATACATAATGTATCCAGAGGACCACCGGGACCGCTGCACAAATAGGGGCCCAGGGACGCCACCGAGAGAGAAAGAGAGAAAGAGCAAGTGATAAGGAATGAGAGGAGAAAAGGGGAGTGTTCTGGTGCTACTTGGTCCATTGAAAGCAGCCTGAAGGGTAATTGGATAGGGCAGGTAACCTCAGATCAAAAAAAAAAAAAAAAGATAGCGTAGCAATGGAAGGGTCATAGCTGCGAGGGGGATTGAGAGGCCTCTTTGGGAGCTTGTGATGGGGGGTAATCTGATACACAGTGTGGCCAGAGGCCCTTATGTTCATGTATATGCTTTCAAGACCCAAGACAGCCCTTGCAAATAAAATCCAAGATGGCGGATTCTCTCGTCCCTTGCTTTTTGTCATCCTTCAGGGTTGGAGATGTGCCTCATTAGCTTGTGTAGCATGTTTGTTAGGCTCCGTCTCCACGTCTACTGTTTGCGGCCTGGCTTTTGAAGCCACACATAATGGATTCCTAATCAAGATCTCGCTCGGCCCCAGCTGAAAAAACCTGCCTGGGCTTCAGTGCATCTCCTCCAGAACAAAGACAAACACAAACACACACACACAGACACACACACACAGAGACAAAATTCTGGCTGGAATACTGCAGGATAAATAAACAAGAGGGCTGAGATGTATAACAAGGAGAATGCCACATGAAAACACACTTCTTATGATTTACATGTGCTGGTTCACATTTCGTTTTGGCGAGTTTGTGTTGTGGCGTCTCTAACGGAGGGTGTTTTAGGGTCAGTGTTCTGACCTCTCACTGTCGAACTGCCATTTGCTTCTCTTGCTGCCCACACACTTCACCTTTCAGCCCAAATGGAAAAAGGGAAAGAGAGAGAGGAAAACACTTTGTGTACTGCCTGCATTTTTGTCATGCTGCTACATGCTATCTCTCCGTCTCCTTGACAGCCTCTTCTCTCTCTCTCTCTCTCTCTACTTCTATCCATGTCTATCTTTCTCTCTCTCTGTCTTTATGCTCTGAGCCTCAGTGCCTCAGGGAGAGAAGGAGAGAGATAGTTTCATAGAAAATAAGAGAAGAAAAAAAGAGAACTAGAGGATTTTACTCAATAAAAAAAGAGTAGTTTTCTCTCATGTGTTCACTCCAATACAATTTTTATGTACATTAAAATTCATAATAAAAGTAATGCTGATAACATTCTTGAAGCCTTTCACCATTAACATTCATTATGTAGAAGAAAAGAGTCTGTAAACTTAGATGTATAGAGAGCAAGAAAGATTAATGGCACATTACAGATCTGATTCAATTCAGATGATTTAGCTCTATATAGTTTTCTCTTTGGAGTTTTTGGGTATACTAGACTTTTCATTTTTTTTTTTTTTATCCACTGCCTCTTTGGATGAAAATTATATCAAGATTGATTTTGTAATGGGATGGAAATCTTTAAGAATTTCACGATCTGATTCCAAAAGGATTTTTAGCCTTCAAGGTGTAATATGCTCAATGATTGGTTATATGCTTAATGATTGGAATCTCTGTACGAGACGCATCTTTAAAGACTCTACTCATCTGGAATGGAGTGCACCGTATGGCGGCATATGATTCTGTTGTAGTCAGTGTCCATCAGGATTAAATGCTAAGGATTTTTTTCTATTGGCCCGATTGGGTTCAGATTTTTACCTGCCCTGCCAAAATTTTCACTGGCCCCACCAATAAATTTTTTTTTATATCTATTTCTTAACCACGTATTGTAAATTAGGTGTCAAAAATGTAAACTTTAAATATTTAAAAATGTTAATAAATGTAAAATTAGCAAAATTCAAAGTGCTATGCAAATAACAACAACAAAAAAACGGTATGGATAATTGCAGTTCTAAATTATTTAACAAAAGGTGGCTGACTTGCCGAACTAATGGCAATCTGTGCAAAACATCACTACATGTTTTCCGTCGTGTTGTACCTACGTAAATGTCTGCTTCCAAGACGTTAGAAACAGACAGACGTTTCATTTTCTTTTAATCTCATAATTTGATGTTGCCGCCATGTTGCCGTCTCTTCACTGTACTGGTTGTTACCAGGTTATAGGAAAAAATAACGTGCTCAGAACATCCAATCATATAAGCAGAACCAAAAAGCAATATGGTGTTTAAGACATCACAGAGAAGGTGGCATTTAAAAGCTTTAAAGCACAAACTTTATCTCGATCCCGAGATTGTATTTGCACACATTTGACAAATAGCCACATGCGAACAAAACGTTAAGTTCTTTTTGTTATTGCCACCCTGTCTATCATCTTTAGTCATTTTAAATTTGCTGGCACACCGGGCAAGTAGTGCAGCATGGCATGGCATCTATGACAACAAGGTTTCGCTTTCAGATGCGTCCTAAAGCCAAGTACAACGGATAAGAAGTGCCTCGCCAGTAATAATCTATTTGTTCAAATGAAGCTAATTCAACAGTATGTTTAAATATATATAGAGCTAAATATATAGATAATATATAGAGATAAATATATATAGAGCTAAAATTTAAAATCTGGGGTCATCGTTATTATGCAGTATATTGATGTAAAAGATTGTATTGAGATTGGTGTTGCATTAAATTTGATGCCAGCAATGTGGGTTTAAGGTTAAAAAGTATAAATTGAATTGAAAGACTTGAAATAATCCCCTGATGTCATACTTGCATGACAAGAGAGGTAAATAGTGCAGCACTGATGTCATCAAACACACATTACTTTTTTCAATTATTGTTTCGTGATCTCACTGTCTGATCTGGATTCAGGTCTTATCTGTCATCACAGACATACAGATCTCTGTTTGAACTTGTAAAGCGTGAACATCAGCTCTGGGAGGAACTGCTCAAAGAAATGTATCAAATAGAAATAATTTACAGTATGTAAGCTTATTAGGTTTATTTTTTAATTAGGTCAAATGAGTCATTTTAGTCTTGTCTTTTCTTTATCATAAGTGTCAACTTGTTTCACATTTACACTTTTATTATTATAATACACTTAAACTCAGCTTAACGTTTTTCAAGGTTTGAAATACCATTATATTTTCACATGCCTTTTTATTTATGTATTTTGTTATGAAATGTTAAAAATACATTGAGTACTGCTCATGACATTACCAAGAAATCTGTTTTAAATGATTGTCCACACATGGCCAGATTTGTTGGTAAGTCAGGTCAAACCCAAAGTGAGTCTAATTACAATATAAATAATCGGTGATCCCTTTTTTCCATTATAAAATGGTGACGCAGCCAACCAGAAAATCTATATCTGAAAAAGAAAATGCATCTAAACAGAAAATGTAAATGTTTGTGCTGTATTAAACAGTAGAAATTCAACTGCTAAACCCCTAACTAAGAGCATTTGTTCTTTTGTTTCCATAGGGACATCAGCATGAACAACATCACTGAGCTGCCTGCTAATGTCTTCAGAAACCTGCCGTATCTGGAAGAACTGTGAGAGTGAATTCTGCTTTTCTCCCTCTCTTTTTGTACTTTATCCCTTATGCTCTTTTTCGTTTTTTTTCCATGTATGGTTGATATTGTCCTCAAAAATCAGCATGGAAAGATGATGTCTTTAATCTTGAGTATTGCCCTATTTCGTAATATTTTGCCTATTTTGAGATTTTGAAATATAGAACTGCGGAAACTAATTTAAAGCTAAATACACATGGCATCCATTAAATCGCTGCTGTTTTCAGTGTCAGCTTGTTGGGTTACATGTGCTCCATTGTCTTCGGTTGTTTTGTTGGTCGCCACATTGCATCGCTGTCCATTTGCACAAATTAAAGTCTGCTCAACTTTGACACGCAGTTGATGTTGCTCATGTAGCCTCAGATCAGGCCATTGATCATGTAGCCTCAAGTCATTGAAAGCAAATGACTTCCAGACGCTGTTAATACATGACTACTTTTATATAAGAGTTCTAACTTCAAATTCAGCCACATGGATGTTTAGTACGACAGCATCACTCATGGTTTTGATAAAGCTTTGTGTTTTGTATAATAGCGCAACAATATAATGTTGTTTGGGTTACGCATGAACATGCATATTAGATCTTGAGGGCCCCAATGTAGTTGCAACAAAACTCTTTTCATTGTTTATATAATGTTAGTACTCCTACCTGTTACATAATCATCACAGATTTGACCTAATCAAGACACGACTGACCTAATCAGAGCTCATCAAATGTCAAATAAACATGGTCAGGTTTAAAAAAGTACAGTGCCCATATGTGCCTACACTAACATTATATTGCAACGTATCATACAATACATACCTGTTCATACGTCAGCATGGTTAAGTTAGTTTTAGATTAGATTTTTGTTGAGCATTTGCCTATGCTGTTTTATGGACCATTTGTCAACAACATCCATTGTGCAAAAACGTACATGATGTCAAATTAATGTTTTTTGGAGGTTTTAGTAAAAGCATAATGGACAGACTTATTCAGTTACACAATTATTTGAGAATACGAAATACTGTAAAATCCCATGACACACCATGTCATAAGACATTAATATTAGGTTAGATTTAGGTCATATTGATTAGGTGATTTGGTGATATTTTTTGTTGTTTTAGGTTGCCTTGAAAAACAAACAAAATGCAATGTAAGTCCTTTGTTGGACATTGACGTAGGCCTGATGTCAACCCAATTTTCATTTCCAAACAAAATGCAATGTCCCACGACTTTGGTGAACAACGTCAATCTGACGTCATGTACCTGCTGGGTAGGTTTGTCGTTTATTATCAGTGGCCAGACTTAACTTTCATTCGTTCATTCAATTTTTTTCAGGTTATTCCCTCTACCAATCTGGGGTCACCACAGTGGAATGAACTCTCGCTAGACTGACTTGCTACTGACAATATTTCATTAATACCTTCCTAATTGTATATACAATACATATTTATTTTAGGTAATATAAATGTGTGCTCATACAATTTTACAGTGTGATTCTAATTAAAACAAAACATTTTAATAATATATTCAGTCATGCCCGAAATTATTCATACCCCAGGGATGTATAATATAAAAAGTCTAAAATATATCATTGCCTTTAGGGTATACTTTAAAAAAAAAGTACGAAGACTACTGGTAGTAACTACTGACAGATTTGGCCACACACAGCACCATCACATCTGGAAGAGTCTCATAGCTTACAAAATATTAAAGACAAAGTCAGAGAGTCTCAGGGTGCTCCGGGTATCAGATGTCACCAGTTTGGCTTTTGAAGCTACATCATTCATTGTGTATTAATGGCGTTGAAAGAACAAACACGTGCCATTTTACCAAATTCTGGAGTGCCTCTGTCAGTACTTCTGAAGTCAGTTTTGAACTCTGGCTGGGTGTGTCTGATGTTTTTGCATGTTTGTCTTTTCTTCGCTCATCCCGCTTCTGCCCATCTGCGGGAGGACCAGATAACATCTGTCTAAGTGATATCAGGTACCAGCGCTTCCAGACGGCTGAAATGACCAGCTCCAAAAGTTGGCTCCCCCTTGTTGTTCGCTCTTTTTTTTTTTTTTCCTGACTCTTTCCTTTTTTATTCATTTGATTGGAGTGTGTTTTCTTACCCTTGTGTGTCTTTCATCCACTCCAATCTCCTCCGCTCTCGTTCCTAAACAGTCCTCCAGCGCTTTGTCAAAGGCCAATTTGCTTTTCAGCGCATTGTGAGAAGGAATGCATGGCAGGAAGAAGGAGGGCAAAACAATGGTTTCTGTGACAACTGGAGTTTTGAGAAGTGTGTGCTATCTGGGAACAGGACGGGGGTGCGGGGGGTCTCCAGGACCTGCACTGCTCTGTTTTGTGCCAGATGCTCTTTGTCAGGTTGCTCATGGTTCAGTGGTCACAATGGGTGTGGTTAATCATGGGGTCAGGAGTTCATGTTCTGGGCTTAGATTTATTTTTAAACGCATACTGGACAAGGGTAACCACTCAACAGCTAAATGCACATTGCCTATATGTGTACATGAAAGATAAATAAGTAAAAGAGTAAGTTTTATCTTAAATAAGCAATTTAATTGTGTAAAAATATTTGTGAAGACAAAAATAAATAAATTACTAATTACTTAGACTGTATTGGACTGAAACAATCTCTTTTTCCATGCCATATGCTGTGTCCCAATTCACATACTTATACTACTCCCTAAGAGTATGTACTTTTTTTGTGAAAGAAAATATATACTTTGGAGTGTGTAAAAGAAGAGTATGCAGATTTTGGGACATACTACATCCTCCTTAACAGATCATTATTGTGTTTAGTTTTGAGCCCTGTCAATCATCCACACATCTTCCACATTTCTATCATATTAATTTAATAAGAAGCAGCAGATTAATCTCCACTTCACGAGTCTTTCATGCAGAGACATCTTCTCAGGTCTTTAGATAATTCTGCATTCAGACGTTAATATCCTAACACGTATTTATACAAGTTCAGTATTGTTGTTGCAGATAAAATCTAACACAGAAAATGCGATTTACATATTTTTCAGTGGGCTAGAGATTTATTAACAGTCATACAAACATCTTTACCGAAGCCTCTATTTAACGATTGGTCCTGCGTGTCCGTCATGTTTGTAGCTTATTTACAGTTGTAGTCAGAATTATTATCCCCCTTTTGAATTTTTTATTAGTTTTTAATTATTTCCCGAATGGTGTTAAACAGAGCAAAGAAATGTTTACAGTATGTCGGATAATATATATATATATTTTTTTTTCTGGAGAAAGTCTCATTTGTTTTGAGTAAAAAACAGTTTTAAATTTTTTTAAGAACTTTTTTAAGGTCAAAATTATTTGCCCCTTTAAGCTATATATTTTTTCAATAGTCTACAGAACAAACCATCATTATACAATAACTTGCCTAGTTTACCTTAACATAGTTAAGCCTTTAAATGTCACTTTAGGCAGAATAGAATTGTCTTGAAAAATATCTAGTCAAATATTATGCACTGTTATCATGGTAAAGATAAAATAAATCAGTTATTAGAAATGAGTTATTAAAACTGTTATGTTAAGAAATGTGCTGAAAAAATCTCCTCTTCGTTAAACAGAAATTGGGGAAAAAAATTAAACGGGGTAAAAAATTCAGGCAGGCTAATAATTCTGATAATTCTTCAGCTGTACACTTTTTACCCTCGTTTGTAGTTCTAATTGAATTCACGTCTAACGCACTGTGTACTGTGGGCAATATTAGCAGTTAAGAGTATGGACACTTGTACACTTAAACATTTTATAGCAAATATTAAACCAGGGAACCTGTCATTCCCCTTCGGGGGGAACTTCAGCACTATAAGTGGATTTGATTGTAAAATCCACGCATTGGGAGGTTCGGTTCAGAAGCTACTCGTCTGAAGAGTATTGAACGGGCCAATTAAGAATGAATTGGCAGCGCAAGCCTGCGCAGGTGAGCGGCATAAGCAATCAACTGAGTATATAAGCTCACCTGGCGCCAGCAGACGCTATCCTTTTCGCTTGAGAGACTTTCTGATCGAGTCGATGAGGGTTCCTCCTGCTGTGACCAGCGATTCTGAGCGAACGAGAGCATTCTCCCGGTCCAGAGTGTGTACACGCAGTGGCAGACGGTCGAGCTGGGTTTCTCCCTTGCCTGGCGTTCTTTGGGTCCGGTCCTCCAGAGCGGTGCGTATAAAGTTGCAAACTTCACAGAAAGAGCAACACAGTCGTGCAGCACGTCCTTATCAGGACGGCGCTCCGACTGTGCGTTTCTGGATGCGGTGGTTTCCTGTCCTCGGATGATGGGCGCGGGCACTGCGTTGCATGTCTGGGGGTCCAGCATGTTAATGCGCTGCTCGCGGGCAGTTCATGTCGTCATTGCGATGCCATGACTGTTGCGCAAGATCGCGGTTAGCCTTTGCAAAAGGGCGAACCACCCCAGTTGTCCCCTGCTCTGCAGCGGGCACTCGGGCAGATCTGAGGGTTTCAGCGAGAGATAATCCGTCGCCCACGGGCCCGCGGACCTCCCGCTCCTCTAAGCGCTCCATCCAAGCTTCGGGCGGGGGAAGCGATCCGTCTAACAGATGGTAGCCCTTACGCCCGATGACACCGGAGACCAGATGTCCACCGCGGCATCGGAGGGTGGGCTTTCATTGTCCGATGATGATCCAGACCCGCTCGCCCCCTTCGGGCTGGTGAGTGCTGTCACTACGGATCCTGAAACGGACATGTTAGCCGTGCTTTCCCGGGCTGCTTCGGCCGTGGGTTGGAGATGGTTTATCCCCCAGCTCCGCGGCCGGACCGACTAGAGGGGCGTTCCCTTCTTCCCGGAGGTGCACAGTAGGCTCACGCGGTCTTGTAAAGCACTTTTTTCTGCTCGTGCTGCGTGTTCCTCCACCCTAACCACTCTTGACGGTGAAACAGCCAGGGGGTATGTGGCGATTCCTCAGGTTGAGTGCGCGATGGCGGTAAATCCGCGCGGCGCCTCTTCTTGGCGGGGTCCGCCTCG